GGAAGCTGAAAATTTAGGGGAACGTTCCCCACCCACGTGTGACCCCCCAAATTTAAATTCAGCTTCCCCGTACCCACGGGTAACACGTACGGCCCTGTGAAAGTTTTTCACGGGTAAATTAATATGTCGGGAACCACGGAGTCTAGGAGGCTGAAATTTTAGAGTAATAACCCCCTGCCCACGCTCAACCTTGCCCATTCAAATTCAGCCTTCCCTTACTTGCGGGTAACACGTACGGCCCTGTGAAAGTTTTTGACGGGTAAGTTAATATCTCGGGAACCACGGAGTCTAGGAAGCTGAAATTTTAAGGCAGTGGCCCACCGCCCACGGTCAACCTTGCCCATTCAAATTCAGCGTTCTCGCGCTCTCGGGCACCACCTAACGGCCCCGTGAGATTTTTGACGGGTAAACTATTAACTCGGGAATCACGGAAAGATATTCATCCTTCAAGGTTTCGAATTCAACTTTCATGCGCTGTTGCGTGAAATTTTTAACTGTTTTCCAAATGTTAGAGCTATTTTTGCATAAGTACAAAGCAGTGAAAATCATTAATAGGCAGTCGTTTTCGATGGGCTGAATTGCACAAAACGCATGATCGTACCGGCTAGTCTGGTGCCCGTTGCTTTTTATTCTATTTCTGTTACATGATACAAGCAGTTAGAGCATTAATATAATGTTCGCAAAGCTCGCGCTTTTTTTTAATGAGGCGATTTCCTTGGCCTCCTTCTCGCGAAGTTTGTCTCGGAAAAAATCTTCGAGAAGCCAGCAGAGAAGAAGCCGCTACAAAGAAAGATGAGGGAAAAAGTGGAAAAAGGCAGGCTGTTCGGAGCAAGCAAAAATATGACTAAAAAATATGCAAGATTGATTGTCATTAATTAAGTGGAGGATATGATTGCCTGCCTTAATTCGCATAGCTTATGTTCCACTCATTCTCGTATCTTCGAGAAGTATTACAATTTGAATTGAAAAATTGAAAGTTGGACAGGTATTGTTGTGGTTTTGAACTGAGAATGTGCTATAACTCCTCACTTTACTGGACGTTTTGCGCATCACTGTTTTCACTCAGTTGGCTTTTATATTTACAGATCCATCCCTCAGATTGTCTCCCCAGAAAAGTTGGATGAGCTTGAACGAATTTGCGATGCGGCTGCGCAGCTTTTAAGTCAATTCGGTAAGTATACATGTTCGTCGTTTACCATTCATCAGATCAATTTATCATGAATATCTTAATATTGCCGCTATCAGTTTGCACGGGTAAGCAATCCCTGAATGGGAATGAATGGTCGTAAGACCACGAAATGAGGAAATGAAATAGATAGTGAAACGCATATGTTTTTTATAAAAAGTTGGCAAGATGTGAGAAGGACCTAAATGTGAACTTGGCTGTCTGTTTTTCATCCCTAAGCTGCAAACATAGACAGTATGCGGTGTGGGTTGGGGGTGGGAAAGCATCGAAAGCCTTGCCAGCGCATGGTCACTTTAGGCATATGCAACTCTCTGAATGCGTGCAAGTGCTTCCGTCCCTCATATAGGCCGAATTTGAAGTGTTTTTTAACTTTGCATAAGAAAAAAGAAACTTAATAAAAGTTGGATAAATTGCTGGCTGCATGGAGAAATCTAATCTACGAATTAACAGGTATTCTGGATAATGTTTAATTGGTTGATTTATTCACGCTTTTCCGTGTTCTGACTTATTCAGAAAAGACTCCCTAAGTGTTGTTACTTTTTTTAGGAACAGTTGTTGGCTGTTCCTTCCAAGGATTGCTTAGAAACAAGTTACGTTTCCCTAGCATGCGCCAGGAGCAATAGCAGTTAGACATGAAACAAATGAACGAATCGTAGAGTGATTGGTTTTCCCTCAATGAGGCAAATGACCCTTTGGCTCGAGCCTTTGGTAAATCTTGCTCTCCGGAATCTTCCAGCCTGTTTGCAATACTGCATTGATTATTCCGCATCGCAATGTCGCTGGTCCCAGTGATCCACTTTGCCCGTCTGTCATCTCTCATTATGATATATTATCAACCTGATGCTTAAAGAGATGTGAATTAATTAGAAGAATCGGGGGAGGCGGTAAAACTAGAGGAGCTAAATGTTGAAACTTTACGATGATGCAAATGTACGGCCCAAAAAACTTGAAACCAGCGTCTACGTATGCCTAAATTTCACGTTCGTGCGTGTCAAAGTTCGAATTGACATCAGGGATTAAAGGATAAAGCGAAAGGCAGACACAGCACCAGTTGTCCTTGTGACTTATGCTAGGAATATTTTGGTTTAGGAAAGTTGCTCCTTCTTTTTTACATAATTTTGATTGTATTTATTCAATAAAAAGAACTATTTTTTTAAAATAAAAATGCAAAATATTTTTATTGGTATAGATAAAGCCGTGGAAGAGTAGAAAAATTCGAGCCACAAAAACACACAAATTTTAATTTGTTACAGGGTCAAATGGTTTTAAGAAGAAATTACCAGCCAATGTTTTACTTTTATTTGGACAGGTAAGCTTTTCTCCAGGACACCCTGTGCGTTTTTGCGAGACAGGAATGCTAAATAGTGTCTTGAACAATTCCATACATGTTCATCATAAAGATGGTGGATGAGAGTCTCGACAGAAGAGACCCACTCCTACCCGCTATGTTCGGTTTTTATTTGCAGCTAAGGAATGAAACACAGACTGCTTCCTAATATGTCTCCATCGCACATCATTTTCTGATTCATCCCTTATCTCCTCCCCATATTTTACATATAGATTAATGATGAACGCATAATAACACAGGCCACATTAACACTATTATAAACAGCACAATGCACGTATGTTTCATAAGCACTTATAGGCAGGGGCACATTTTTAGTGGGTTCACTCGAGTTCGGTTATGGGATTTTTTGAGACTTGCTGGGGATCGTACTTTTCGGATTATCAAAAGACTGCTACCTTAATCCGTAGTGCTTCCTTAGAGCGATGGTTAGGAGAAATAATGATAAATCGAATCGAAAACTCCAGCAGGATAGACAGGGGAGGGGGGGGGGGGGGGGGGGGGGGGGG